AAGTTAATGTTTGGATCAAGAGTGAAGTAGACGTTTGTATTAGGGGTGAAGTAAAGGTTTGGGTTTTGGGTGAAGTATAAGTTTGGATCTACTGTGAAGTAGAAGTTTGGGTTTAGGGTGAAGTAGAAGTTTGGGTTTTGGGTGAAGTTAATGTTTGGATCAAGAGTGAAGTAGACGTTTGTATTAGGGGTGAAGTAAAGGTTTGGGTTTTGGGTGAAGTATAAGTTTGGATCTACTGTGAAGTAGAAGTTTGGGTTTAGGGTGAAGTAGAAGTTTGGGTTTTGGGTGAAGTTAATGTTTGGATCAAGAGTGAAGTAGACGTTTGTATTAGGGGTGAAGTAAAGGTTTGGGTTTTGGGTGAAGTATAAGTTTGGATCTACGGTGAAGTAGAAGTTTGGGTTTAGGGTGAAGTAGAAGTTTGGGTTTTGGGTGAAGTTAATGTTTGGATCAAGAGTGAAGTAGACGTTTGTATTAGGGGTGAAGTAAAGGTTTGGGTTTTGGGTGAAGTATAAGTTTGGATCTACTGTGAAGTAGAAGTTTGGGTTTAGGGTGAAGTAGAAGTTTGGGTTTTGGGTGAAGTTAATGTTTGGATCAAGAGTGAAGTAGACGTTTGTATTAGGGGTGAAGTAAAGGTTTGGGTTTTGGGTGAAGTATAAGTTTGGATCTACTGTGAAGTAGAAGTTTGGGTTTAGGGTGAAGTAGAAGTTTGGGTTTTGGGTGAAGTTAATGTTTGGATCAAGAGTGAAGTAGACGTTTGTATTAGGGGTGAAGTAAAGGTTTGGGTTTTGGGTGAAGTATAAGTTTGGATCTACTGTGAAGTAGAAGTTTGGGTTTTGGGTGAAGTAGAAGTTTGGGTTTTGGGTGAAGTTAATGTTTGGATCAAGAGTGAAGTAGACGTTTGTATTAGGGGTGAAGTAAAGGTTTGGGTTTTGGGTGAAGTATAAGTTTGGATCTACTGTGAAGTCGAAGTTTGGGTTTTGGGTGAAGTAGAAGTTTGGGTTTACTGTGAAGTAGAAGTTTGGGTTTACTGTGAAGTAGAAATTTGGGTTTAGCCAATAACTGGTATTGAACTAAATACAAACCTTTACTTTTGGTTTTGTGTATAAACTTAATATGCATTTAATATAATTTCTGTGACGATTTTGGTCTTTCTTTTGCCTTTTTTTTTTACTGTCTGGTTGAGAGAAAGAAGTTGAGGTGCCGATGAGGCCAGTATCCCCCTCCCAGCAGAGAATTAGGAATGCAGGGGGAGGAGGGGTCGCTGTCCCTTGTTTTAACACCTTTCTTTAGGAGAGCAGATCAAACCCGACCTGATCTAAGCACTTCAGAGCTGCATTTCAAAAGGAGCCCAAACAATGCATCCTCACACCTCTGATCATGGGCGGAGATGTAATACTGAAAGGAGGG